CTCCCCTCCCCTCCCCTTCTCTCCTCTTTCTTTCTCTCCTCTCCTTCCTCTCCTGTCCTCTCTTTTTTCTCCTCTTGTTCTCTATTGCTCTGGTTCTATCTATCTATCTATCTATCTATCTATCTATCTATCTATCTATCTATCTATCTACCTATTTGAGACAAGGTCTCTCACTGACCTGGAACTTGCCATGTAGTTAAGACTGCCTGACCAATTAGCACCAAGCATCTTCCTGTTTCCCAGTGGAGGAATTACATACATTGTCACCACATCAGAATTTTTAGGAGGCACTGGGGGAGCATACTATGGTCCTTGTGCTTTGTAGAAAGAAATTTGCTGACTGAACCACCTTCTATGTTCTCCTAATTTGGCTTCTTTTTCATTTTAAGATTCATTTTATTGCCGGGAGGTGGTAGTGCACCAGCACTTGGGAGGCAGAGGTAGGTGGATTTCTGAGTTCGAGGCGAGCCTGGTCTACAGAGTGAGTTCCAGGACAGCCAGGGCTATACAGAGAAACCCTGTCTTGGAAAAAAAAAAGTAAGATTCATTTTATTTTTAATTATAAGTATGCATCTACACAGATATAGGTACATTTGGAAGTCAGATAAGGGGATCAGCTTTCCTGGAACATATGTTACAGGTGGTTGTATGCTCCTCAGAACAGGTGCTGAGAACTGAACTTGGCCTACTTTTACTGCTGTAATAAGACAATATAACCAAGGCAATTTTTAGAAGAAAACATTTAACTTGTGGCTGATAATTTCTAAGGGTGAATTCATTACCATTATGGAGTAGAACATTACAGAAGGTCAGTAGACAAGGTACTGGACTAGTACCTAAGAGCTTGGTCCACAAACACAAGGCTAATAGACTTTTAAAATTTTAAAGCCCACTCTGGTGACATAATATCTTTCAATAAAATCACACCTAATCCTTCCCAAGCAGTTTTCTCTAGTTGTGGACAAAGTATTCGAGACTGTGAGGGCCATTCTCATTCAAACCACCACACTGATGTTAGATGCAATAGAACAAGTAAGCTATCTTAACTGTCTGCCATAACTTCTCTCCCATGATAGACAATCTTACGTTGCGCTGTAAGCCCCAATTGACTTTTCCTCCTGAAAGTCACTTCTTGTCAAGTATTTGGTCACAGAAACAAGAAAAGAAACTAATAACCCACTGTAGTCTGTAGTCAGAAAGGGGGATTGCTGAGGAGAAACATAAATGCTACCATTGTCTGAGCAGAGGCAATGCTAAGGTTAACAATGAAGTTGGAAGGAGAGGGAGGTGGCTAGGTGGAGAGAGGATGATATTATTGGGCTGGTAGAGTTTGGAAAGTCTCATTCTGTGATTCTATCATCAATTTTCCTTTCCCCAGATCCTCATTGTATATCAGCTCTTACAAATGTTTTTCCTGTGTGATATACTTTTAAATACTCAATCTGATCTCCAGAAGCTGATGGCGGAGCCATATTCCCTGTATTTTAGGGTGGTCATTCAAGCCTTTGGTTCTTAACTAATACAAGGGATTGATATCTTTGTGCCTATCAGTTGGTGTCATAGCTGTGTGTGAGGTACCTTGGAAACATTACAGGAATGACTGAGCATGGTAAAATACAAGCTACTATTGGCTCTGAGAAAAACACTTAGGTCAGGAACACTGAGGAAGTAATGTGATTTGATACTGATATAGAGAATATGGGTGACTTGGAGTCTAGTACAGTGTATAGAGTTGGAGGTGTGTGGTTTCTAGAGTGTGGTGGTCAGAACTTCGCCACCTGCTTTCTCCCAGAACCTCTCTTCTCAGCCCTGATTCCTCTATGGGCCACTGAACAGAAGAATTCAGGCATGTGCAATGGTAATCTATTGTCTAGTGTGACTTGAGGCTATATCTATCATCTTCCTTCCAGAGAAGATAACAGAGGAAATAATTCCAAATAAGTTTGCTTCTGCAAGATTTATCTTCTTCACGTTGAAACACAGTGATAATTATGGAGAGGAAATTCCTGCCTGGCCAGTTTCATATTAGTTCTGTGACACTAAAGAGCATTTCTACAATATTATGATAAGGGGAGGGAGTTCAGAGCAAGTTATTTAAATTCTATACTACTCTGTACTTCACTATTTTTTTCATTAAAAAAAATTGTGTTGATGACTGAACTAAGGGTGAGTGCTAAGCTAGTCCTTAATCATAACTTAGCTTTTTCTCTTCATTTTTTAACCAGTGTGGAGCTGAAACATACCCTTCCAATCCCACATTAGATTTTTACAGTGACCTTCATAGAAATAAAATGTGTATGCCATGAAATTGTCAGTTGAGAAATAATATAAGGCATAAACTACTGGTCCAAGTCTGATTGCACTAAAAATGAAAAATTGGCCTTATTTTTAAATGTTCTATTTGAGATATTTAAATATTCTCTTTTTGAGTATTTTGATCATAAAATAAAGTTTTTACTTATTGATAGCAAAATTGTGTAAACTGTTTCCTTTTCTTTACGATTATGTAGAGAAATGTTTTACTATTTGGGATCATTAAACACTTTAAACATTAACTTGAGGGAGGCTTGATTGAAAACAGCTTGATTGCTGGTGTGTGCCTCTCAGTTGTGACCTCAGAGGTTTTGGGTGGGTGCAGAGCTACATGAGCA